CAAGACAAGCCAAAAGCGTGGGAAACCAATCAGTTTCAAAAATAAAATTCTTGAAAGAAAAAAAGAGTAAATATTCAAGATGATCAGAAAGAGGAAACAGAACCTTTAGAAGAGACCCTTAACATAATTCATAAAATTTAAAAAGAAATTCAGGTACTTGAAATCATTACAAATGAATAAATCTCAATAAATTATGTCATGATGGGAAAGATGGAATCAAAATGAAATAAAAGTCAACAATATTTTTACATATAATGTAGCACTCAATATTATGAAAAAAAAAAGATTTTGAATCTATATATATTGAAGAAAGTAGATATAGAAATGATTAGCCAATGTAAAAAGATGCAATTAAGGCAGAATTGAAGTCACTTACAACACATGAAACTTTTGGACCTATAGTCCATACAACAAATGTTATAAAATTGGTAGGATTTGAAATGGTATTCGTGTGTAAACAAAATGAGAAAACTGAGATTGTGAGATATAAAGCATGGCTTGTCGCACAAGGTTTTACCTAAAAACCTAATATTGATTATGAAAAGACATATTCTCTTATAATTGATGTAATTACATTTCTATATTTAATTAATTTGACAATACTTGAAAAGATTGAAATGCGTTCTATGCATGCAACTACAACCTATTTATATGACTCATTTGATAGTGATATCTACACAAAAATTCTTGAAAGATTTAAGTTGCCTAAAGCACACAATTCTCAAGAAATTTATTCAATCAAATTAAATAAATATATATATATGGATTAAACAATCTATAAGCATGTTGTATACTTGCATTAGTGAATATTTGTTAAAAAAAGGCTATAAAAATTATCCTATATGCCCATGTGTTTTATAAAATGATTTGAATCTAAGTTTGTCATAATTGCTATTTATATTGATAACCTAAATATCATTAAACTCTTGAAAGTTATACAAAGTTGTAAGTTACTTAAAGAAAGAATTTGAGAAGAAAGACTTTGAAAAAAAAATAAAGTTTTTTTTTTGTCTTTAGATTGAGCATTTGACAAATAAAATTTTTGTCCATCAATTAAATTATATAGCAAAAGTGCTAAAACGATTCTATATAAACAAAGTACATCAATTGAGTTCATCAATGGTTGTAAGGTCACTAGATATGGAAAAAGACTTTTTTCGACCTCGTGAAGATGATGTAGAACTTCTTGGTCTTAAAATACCATATCTTAATGCAATTGAAGCACCTATGTATCTTTTTAACAATACACAACCTAATATATGAATTGCTGTAAATTTATTAATAAGATATAGTTCTTCTCCAATTAGAAGACAATGGAATAAAATTAAACATATACTTTAACATCTCCAAAGAACAAATGATGTGAGCTTATATCACTCAAATGCATCAAAATCAAATTTAATTGATTATACAGATGTAAGAAGTTTATCTAATCCACATAAAACTCAATCATAGACATATTACTTACTCACATATAAAGGTACAACAATTTCATGAGGTTATGTAAAACAAATTATAATTGCTAGTTCTTCTAATCATGTAGAAATTTTAACAATTCATAAAGCAAGTCGTGAATATGTCTAGTTAAGATTTAGGACTCAACATATTTAAGAAACGGATGGCTTGTCAACCAAAAAGGAAATTCCAACAATGTGATATGAGGATAATACAACTTGCATAACCCAATTAAAGGGAAGATACATTAAAAGTGATAGTACAAAACATATTTCACCAAAATTCTTCACTCATAATTTCTAAGAAATGGTGATGTTAGTGTTACATAAATTCATTCAAGTGACAATCTAGTATTTTTATTCACCAAATCCCTTTCTACTACAACATATGAAAAGTTATTACAAGCGATTGAAATACATTATTTTAAAGATCTTAAATAATAATATCATCAAGGGAAGCAAAATACGTATTATACTCTTTTCTTTCATCAAGGTTTTTTTAATTAGGTTTTTCTTAGTAAGGTTTTTAATGAAACAGTATTTCAAAAGCATATTGTTGAAAATGATTATATATATTTTTCTTTCAGTTAGATTTTTTCTCATGAGGTTTTTTCCTAATAAGGTTTTAATAGGGCATATTTTAGCATAATGGGCATTCAAGAGGAGTGTTATAAAAATATGTGAATGTTCATTATATCATGGCCTAAGAGTTTAGAGTAGGCTAGGCAACCAAGATAAACCAAACAGCTTAACAAGATAGACATACGCATTTAGTCTAATTTGAAATCTTATATTTGATTATGTATATATAGATTTGATTATGTCCAAATTAAATCCGTTAACATTTTTTTATCTTATAAATTTTATCTAGATTAAGGGTTATCAACCTATAAATAAGCCCTTTACTTCATTTGTAAATACCCATTCAAATAACTTCTTCTTATTCTCTCTAAATATTTTCTCTTATAGTTATTTTTTCAAGTTATATTTCATAATATTTTTCTTTTCATATATTTATATTATTAGCTTTAAATTTTCAAAAGTTGTTCAATAATGGAGGGACTAATGAAAGGGTCTGAAAATGGATCTAGGGGGGCATTGCTTCCCACAAAATTTGAACCCTTGTATGGCAATTGATCCATGGGAAAGCTGTGATAAAAGGAGAGCTTGTGAAAAGAGGTCTGTTAGGGGTGGGGAATGCTATGTGTTTGGTGTGTAAAAACACAGTGGAGACTATGGAACACTTATTTCTTGAATGCATGGGAGTATGGAGATTATGGAGCGCATGGTGTCAAGAATGGGAAGTTGCTTGGGTGATGCCACGAAAATTTAAAGACTTAATGATTATATGGAACTCAACTGAGGTGGGAGATGAAAATAAAGTGTGGAAAATTGCGATCTTTGTGATGGTATGGACCATCTGGACTAGTAAGAATGAGGTGGTTTTCCAAGATAAGAAGTGGGATACTATAGAGATTTATCAAGCTTAGGGTGGCCATGTGGGCTTGTGCGAGATGGCCAAATGATTATGGGTCTGTGCTAGACATCTATCGATAACCGAATGGGACCTTCAATTGCAAAAAGAAGATACAACAAAGGCCTAACACTTCAAGAGAAAGTCTGGAAGCTAGGGTGGTTAAATTCAACGTGGATGGGGCTGCAAATGGGAGTTCGAGGGAGGTAGCCATAAGTGGTTTTACTAAGAAATGAAAAAGGTGAACGTTAATTAGATTTTCTAAAAGCATTAGCATTGGTGAGTCTAGAATGGCTGAAATTTTAGCAATTAGGGAAGCTTTTGTGTTATTTCTTGAATCTAAATGGGTTGATAAGTATAGCCTTATTATTGAAAGTGATTCAACTATTGAAGTCAAATGGGTGAACGAACCAAATTCTGTTCCATGGAGATTTAAGAAATGAATGCTTCAAATTGAGGCACTTAAAAGAAAAGCGAATGAGTGGAAGATCAAACACATATTTAGGGAAGGAAACAATGATGCTGATACTTTGACCAAAGAAGGTGTGAATAGGGAGGTTGATTTAGTGGAGATCAATAATGATTCGGAAGCATAGAGTTGTTGGAAGTAAGCACAGAACATTCTTGATTTTTAGATGATAGAATGGGTCCAAGATCTCCATGCTGTGTGTTTCCTTTAGGTCTCTCTGTAGATTTTTCTAGGACTATTAACGACTATTGACTTTTGTATTGACTGAGATTTGGCAGTTCTCTTGATGTTATGAGATGTGGATAGAAACGTTATCTTCATCTCACAAGTTACCAAATGAGATAGGGACAGTTTGTGTCTCTAGAGTGATAGGGATAGAACCCATATCCTGTTTTTACCTTGTTTTTGTGGGGTAGATTTTTGTAAAGTTCTATTTTGAATACATTTCCTACTTTTCAAAAAAAAAAATTGTAAAAGTCTAATCTTATATATAAAAAAGATAAACTCTATATAGATTCCTTGTAGTATGACATTTTTCATATAACACGTTGAGCTCACAAGATAACAGTGTTAAATTTTCAATTAAATTTTATTAAAAAAAATAAATCTTTTATATTTTAAAGCCTTATTTATTGCATTTCTTGTTCAAAAAGAGAGAAACCAGATTGAACCTACTATTTTCAGATTTGCTTCTAGACAGAGAATCAACTCAAAATTGAAAAGAAAAAAAAATTAAAAATCATTGGGTTGTAGTTGTAGGAAGATGACAAAAGAAAGTTTTCTTACAACAAAAGAAGACTAATCCAATTTCTCATAAACGCGAATTACCATAGTTCATCTCCTTGTTGCCATTGCTACAGCGAGGCATGGACTTTGTAGTCGACCGGAACAATTGCATATTACTATCAACTCACGAGTTCCAGCACACATGAATATCAGTCTGGCTTCTCCTTTCCAGTAAAGGCTCATACAAGCAAGAGGTTGGCACAAGAATATCAATCTCAAGAATTTTTTTGAGAAGCAATAAGAGGACATTGTTAACACTTAGGATTTAATGGTAAGCCTGTGAAGAATTTGAAGAGCTTGGCCAAGATGGTAGAGAAGTGTGATGATGACAATTTGAAAATTGATTTAGAATATGAACAGATAGTACTACTTAGGACAAAGAAGGCAAAAGCAGATACTCCACTCCTATAGTGCATACCACCAGTAAGCTGAATACCTAACTAATTGATTGTTGTAGCTTTTCTAAGACTGCTGCAATAACAAGGAAGGAAGGTTATGTGAATTGTGTGAACAAAGTTTAAGATTCAAAGGTAGGAAATAAAGTTTGTAAATATAAAAGTCTCATTGTTTTTTTTGTGAAAATTGAAGGGAAAATTTAGCATTATTATCTCTTATGAGAACAGTAAAACGCAGAGCTTTGTACGGAAAAAAATTCTCAAACGTTATGTGAAAGAAGTGGGTGTACGTGAAATTTATCTTGTAAAAAATTAGTTCACTGCTCCCAAAGATTAATGATAATGAAGGGAGACTTAATCATCCTAAAAGACCCCCAGCCCTTTATAATCCATTACTGAAAGAAGGAATAAACAGTAAACCTCCCAAAATGGCTGTAACAAAGAAAATTGCAGAAGCACCCATTGCTCCGCACCACCAAGCAATGCAAACTTCGAAAATACATTAGGAAAAAGCGACAGCCATGTCTTTTCCCATAAAATTCTCTCGTTCATTTTCTTCTTCTTTTGATAACCTTCATAAAATTCCACCTATTCAAACACTACTTAAAAAGGGCTTCACTCCCACTCTCAAGTCCGTTAACCGACTTCTTCTCTTTCTCTCTCACACCCAAAGATTCAACTCAATTATGCATCTCTTCTCTCAGTTGGAGTCAAACAATATCAAAGCCAACTCCCAAACTCACTCAATCCTCACTTGGGCTCTCCTCAAATTGCACAAATTTGAAGAAGCGGAGCAGTTGATGACTACCCAGCTGTCAAACTCTTCAAATTTTCCCAAAACCCGGTTTTGGGATTCTCTAATTCACGGATTTGGTGTCATCCAAAGCAACCCAGAAAAGGGTCTTTTGCTGTTACGGCATTGGTTAGGGAATTATGGTACATTGCCTTCTTCTTTTACATTTTGTTCATTGATTCATAGTTTTATATCTCAAGGAAATATGAATGGAGCGATTGAGGTGTTAGAATTGATGATAGATGACAAAGTTAGATACCCTTCTGATAATTTTGTTTGTAGTTCAGTGATTGCTGGTTTTTGTAAGATTGGGAAACCTGAACTTGCACTTGGATTTTTCAAAAATGCTATGAAGTCAGGAGCTTTAAGGCCTAATGTTGTTACTTATACAGCTCTGTTAAGCACCTTTAATATGTTGGGTAGATTTAATGAGGCTTGTGATTTGGTTTCTATGCTGGAAAAAGAAGGACTGGCATTGGATGTTATTCTTTATAGCAGTTGGATTTGTGGGTACTTTAGAAATGGGTGTTTAATGGAGGCTTTAAAAAAACATAGAGAGATGGTGGAAAGAGGAATAAACCCGGATATTTTTAGCTACACTATTCTCATCGATGGATTTTCAAAGGAGGGTACAGTGGAAAAGGCAGTTGGGTTTTTGAAGAAGATGTTCAAAGATGGGGTGGTACCCAATGTGGTTACATATACGGCAATCATGTTAGGATTTTGCAAAAAAGGGAAATTGGAGGAGGCGTTTGCATTGTTCAAGGAAATTGAAGCTATGGGGATTGAAGGGGATGAGTTTATGTATGCAACGTTGCTTGATGGAGCTTGCAGGAAAGGAGATTTTGATTCCGCCTTTCATCTGCTGGATGAAATGGAGAAGAAGGGGATTAAACCAAGTATTGTTACTTATAATATGGTCATTAATGGGTTGTGTAAAGTTGGTAGGACATCTGAAGCGGATAATATATTCAAACAGGTGGAGGGTGATATTGTAACATACAGTATACTGTTGCATGGGTACACTGAAGATGGGAATGTGAAGAGGATTTTTGAGACAAAAGGAAAACTGGAAGAAGCAGGGCTTCGTATGGATGTTATTGCATGTAACATACTTATCAAAGCACTATTTACAGTTGGTGCATTCGAAGATGCCCATGCCCTCTTCAAAACAATGCCAGAAATGGATTTGAATGCAGATTCGATTACTTATTGCACAATGATTGATGGCTACTGTAAAGTGGGTCGAATTGAGGAGGCACTTGAGGTATTTGATGAGTGTAGGATGTCTTTTGTTTCTTCTGTTGCATGCTATAATTGCATCATAAGTGGGCTATGCAAAAGAGGAATGGTTGATATGGCCAGTGAGGTGTTTTTTGAACTTGGTAAGACAGGTTTGGCTTTGGACATGGGTATCTCTAAGATGTTGATCATGGCAACTTTCGCTGAAAGAGGTGCAGAGGGAGTGAGGAGTTTTGTTTACAAACTTGAGAAATTTGGGTCAGACATTTACAAAAGTATATGTGATGATGCTATCTGTTTCTTTTGCGAAAGAGGTTTCATTGAAGATGCAACTGAAGTGTACACCGTGATGAGGAGGAAAGGTTTAGCTTTGGCAAAAAATTCTTACAATTTGGTATTGAAAAAACTTATTGATGATGGGAAACAGTCTTTAGTGGGGCCTTTTCTCAATTTCTTCATGAAAGAGTATGGCCTAGTTGAGTCTATGGTTAACAAGATTGTGGCACACTACTTGTGTCTTAAGGATATGGATACTGCACTACAGTTTCTCAAGAAGATGAAGGAGCAAGTATCAATAGTCACATTGCCTTCCTCTGTTTTCAGAAAACTTGTAAAGGATGGTAGAGTATTGGATGCATATAAACTTGTCTTGGAAGCCAGTGAAAATTTTACTGTTATGGATGTGATTGATTACTCAATCCTGGTTGATGCCCTTTGCAAGGAAGGATACCTTAATGAGGCCTTAGATCTGTGCTCTTTTGTTAAAAATAAGGGGATTACTCTTAACATTGTCACATACAATTCTGTCATAAATGGATTGTGTCGTCAGGGGTGTTTTATTGAGGCATTCCGACTGTTTGACTCATTAGAAAGAATTGACTTGGTTCCCTCTAGAGTCACATATGCAACACTGATTGACAACTTATGTAAACAAGGTCTTCTGCTAGAAGCCAAAAAAATTTTTGATGGTATGATCTGCAAGGGCTGCGAACCAAATATACGTGTTTATAACTCATTAATTGACAATTACTGTAAGTTTGGTCAAATGGATGAAGCCTTGAAACTTATGTCTGATCTGGAGATAAAAGGTATAAAGCCTGATGACTTCACTATTAGTGCTCTAATATATGGCTATTGCAAGAAAGGTGACATGGAAGGGGCTCTTACATTCTTTTCTGAGTTCAAAATGAAAGGTATATCTCCTGATTTCTTGGGTTTTATTCATATGATACGGGGTCTTAGTGCAAAAGGAAGGATGGAAGAGGCAAGGAGTATCTTGAGAGAAATGCTTCAGACAAAATCTGTTATGCAGCTGATAAATGGAATTGATACTGAGATTGAGTCGGAGTCAATAGAAAGTTTTCTTGCATGCTTGTGTGAGCAAGGAAGTATTCAAGAAGCTCTGGTAGTTCTTAGTGAAATTGGGTCTATACTTTTTCCTATTCAAAGGTCGTCTACTGCTTATCAAGAATCTCAAGCACCAAACAAATGTTTGAAGAGTGAAGCTCTTTCTGCAGTCCCCACTGCATCAGCAAGACCCAATAAAAAATCTGATCTAGATTGTGTGTTGCATGACCCACGGCAAATAAGGAAGTTAGTAAAAAATTATGATGTTGGAAAAGAGGAATCCCAATTTTGTGGCTTTGGCTTTAACTATTCCCTACTTAGTTCACTCTGCTCAAAAGGGGAGCTGCACAAGGCAAATAAATATATGAATGAAATGCTTTCAAGTTTGCAGGGAGATCTGTAGTCAACTTACAAAGTTTTTGGTTGCTATGACAAAACCTAAAACTCTCTCTGCCTCCAAGATAGGACAAGAAGCTAAAGCCGATGATAATCATGTCATTTAAGCTTCTTATGGTCCTCAAAGAGGTAACTTTCACATTTTCTTTGTTCTGCATATACTTATTATTCCTGGCAAAAATCTGTCAGCACCGTGTTCTTAAGATTTTGGGACTTAATTGCTGCTGCTGCTCTTTCTTTATTTTTTTTTTTTTTGTTTTGGTTATGAAGCTTACCTTATACCTTCACTACTGTAAAGTGTTTGATTAGGGAAAATTACTTGGTGGGTCAGTCACCATTTCAACTTACTGGCAATACAGAGTTGTATTTCTTTTGCCCATCTATAATTTTCAATTTATATATTTGATTCAAGGAAATAAATAAAAACATTTTTATCTAAAAGCTGCAACATAGTTCTGCCCCAGTCATGAACTACTTCTCTAAATCGGCATTTGTAAAAACCCATAATGTTGTCATTACTATCACCAAACCAACACTAGAACCCACCAGCATTACCAAATTGATGCCAAATCCTTGACCACCAACACCCAAAATCTTTAATTTAAGAGGCATCAGTCAAGAAAGGACGTAAGAAAAGGAGTCAGGATGGCTTAAAAAATTAAGGACCGAGAGGGGGTTATTTGTTATTGGAAGCAAGAGCAGGGGGGTGGGAGGGGGTTGCTAGGCAGAGAGAACCCTTTGGCTGAATTATGGTAGCCTTCTGGCTGCCTGATTTGTTTATTTATTGACTTATCCTTTCACAATCTTAGGTATTTATCCTTTGTTTGAAGAATAGAAATAGCTTTAGAGATGTGAGAGAGAGGTGAAGAGAGTAGGCTCCTTCACTTTTTAAATTGACAATATAGGTGGTTGGAATAGACTCCTGGACTTTTTAAATTAACAATTATTTGTTTGAAATTGATAGAGTTGTAATGCTTTTGATTCAGGAACATGTTGGAGACTAACAATATTTTTGCTTTTATAGTTGCTGTACTTTGTCATTCTTACTCTCGATTTTGTTGTTAAATTACCTTGTCAGTAAAAGTAATTCTATAATACAGACTTTTGTCTGTTTTTCAGTGTCTGAATAGTACTAGGAAAACTCATTAGATAAATATTTACCAGAAAACTGTGTTGGAAACAACTGGGTCTTAGAGTGCTATATTGAGGTTTCTAGGACATAGCGCAACACTCAGTCTTGTTGGAAAAAAGGCCAAGGTTTGGTGATGTTTCCAGGTATAAGGGTTTAATTTAATTTGTTTCTTGCCAATTGTGATATTGGTCCCTGATGCATATTTCTAGACCATTTTTTCCTCTTTTTCTTTTTTTTTTTTTGGTGCAAATCAATGTTGCACACTGTTTTTTGCATTAGCTTCCATGCAATCGAAGGGGGAAAGGAAATTATTATCGTTAAGCTACCAAAGAATTAAACTAAGAAACAGAAAAATACGTGCTCGCTTCTGTCTGCAACAGTGGTGACTATAATTGCATCAGCTTCTAGCTGCTCAATATATCACTGAGGAATTGTGCTAATATGTCCACATCTATATATATGTACTCCACATGGTTCAGGTCTAAAAGCAAAGAAAGAGCAAGAGTGGAGGCTTGGAAGTGAGGAAATATTTCAAAGTTTTCTTAAAGCTCATTCAGACTCACATATAGATTTATAGATAGATAGATTTGTATGCACGTGTGCATGTATATCAAGGGCTAGTTATATGCCATGTCCTATTTTCATGAGATACTAAGTTAATATGAGTTGATTTATTTCTAATACTTAACAACTCATCCAAAACTTAAAATGTATAATATTAGATGGATAAGAGTTGGGATTATGCACCTGTATTCATTTTAAAATAATTTATCAGCTATGACTAGTTATGGCTTGCACATAATAGCCATTTTCATGAAGATTGTTTTGTTTATACTAACTTACTTTTAGATGTAGCACTTAATTCCAATTAGTTGTTAATAGCAAAAACTTTGTACCCTTCCACTGAGAATCACCCCCACGGCGACCTCCCCTCCCCCTTTATCATTCTTCCCCTGTTTGTGCTGCTCACATTTTAGTGTTGTTGTTTTGTTCTCTACACATCTAAATTTTTATGTTTCATTTGAAAATTTTCCAAAAAGTAAAAGGAATACCCAATACTTGCATCTTTAAACTCTTCATTTGGTGTAGCTTCCACTATCTTTTCCATTACATACTCTTTCTTTTCATGTTGCCCATTTTTTTAAAATTCTTTACTATGAGTTGCATGGTTTATGTTTTGATTGAATTTGCATATCCTTTTCCGCTCTCTCCCTCTCCCTTTCACTCTCTTACAAAGCCACCATATTCTTTGATTGTTGACAAGTTCATTGGTGACAAAACTTCTTCTAATTTCTGTCTCCATTTTTTGATATAGAGAATGGTTAGTGGTATTGAGTGATTAGTCTAGTGAGAGTAGAGAAAAAAATTAATCCACCTAGGGCTAGGCATTTGAGAAGTTGTTGAATGCATTACAGTCCAAAATAAGTCACAACAAATTATCTTAGGTCTCAAGTGCCTTTAATAATAGTTATAGAAACATTTGAAAATTAATGGAAGATGAATGGTAAATGTACATAGACACAGAAACAGAACACATATGCATTCAAATTTGCATGCATGTATATTGTCATCCTGACATATTTATATTGCCCTGTGCTTTTACTTCTCTCAATTTTGAATATTTGCGTGTTTAATGTGTGCTTGTTAGTGCATCAACCAAAGTTAAGTGTGGGAACCCTCCTCTTTTCCCTTTTTCTGTGGTACATATTTCCTGAAATCTATTATTGCGTTTATGTTTTTCATTTATTATTTGCCTCATATTTGAAGCTGATCAGATGTTTATATGAATTCAGAGGGTATAGCTCAAACTTTTGGTCATAACTTTTGGCATGCATGATCTACATATTTGCAAATATTAAAATCGTTATTAGTTGTAAAAATGTTATCTCCTAAAGTAGTTATAAGACCTTCAGGTATAAGATACATTGCAGTAACATATATCTCATTCTCTAAGTAACAAAGAAAAACATATTTCTGTTTTTCTTCTTAGTGATTTTTATGTTGCTTTTAGTCAAGAATATAACTAGATGTGGCAATTGAGCAAGGTGGTCAGCTTCAGGTTGTTTCTGGTATCCAGTCAATTTGGTTCGGCTTGTTGACTTTTCAAGTCACTTCAGTATGGGTTACTTATGGGTTGATTCAAGTCATTCAACTTCACATTTGCTTCTCACTTTTACTCTACTAGAGATGGCAATGGTGTTTAGGTTCAAGTTGGGGTTGGATTTTGGAACTTAGACTTTTCAAGTCAATTTTGGCTGAATGAGTTGCTTCAAGTTTTAGATGAGTTCTGAGATTTTAAACTTCTTTGGATGGTTGCTTTCTTTCTATTTTTCATTTTTAATATTTAAACTTGGTAGGTTGAAAGGAAATATCTACAGCAGTTTTAGTTTAGTTTTTACTTGTTTGCTGAAATTTAGAATTGTTTTGATGTCTAATAGCTGGATCTTCATTGTTTTTGCCAATATGTTAGTTTAGGAATTTTCAAAATAATTTACTTAAAATTTGTAAGACAGTTTTAAAACTAACAAATTTAGATGGTTCATCACCCAAATCCAAGTTACACTTGTTAATGATAAGTTGTCTTTAATTAAGAGAAACGTTAGGTAATATGTAAGAGAGAGAGAACAAAATAATTGTTAAGAACAAAAATAGATGGTAACAGTTTATTAAAAGAAGAAGCTAGTAAAAGAATGAAGAATATGTGCTCCCTTTTTTCTTGTACATGTGATATTGAGGCTACACAATGGAGGTAGCCCTTTCCCAATCGCATAAATCTGATCCTGCCCATCCTAGGGTTTGAGACCTCCAAAATGGAGTTTTAAGCTCTAAATGCAGAGATGTCTCCTTGGGGGACAGAATATCTTTACATCCAGTGTCGAATTGGAACATGCCTACTTATATAAAAACACACCCACAAGCTGTGCACAAACACACAGGCTTCTAGTTGTCACCGTTGTCACTATCGCAGCTTGATTTGGAGCAAAAGGCCTTGTGTATTTCTAGTTTGATGAATTTAAATTATCCATAGAGTTGGAGTTGCTGATATTTCTTCACCTGCCCCCTTCCCCCATTCCTCAAGGGACCTCACATCTATAAATCTGTGCCATGAAACAAATTAAGAAAAAAAAAAAAACATGTGCAGTCTTGCATAACTTTTGAACTTCAGTGTGAGTCAAATTTAGTGCTGTGCTAGACTGCTAGGTTTTAGTAGTGAATTTATGTAACACACAATTATTAAAGGACTTCCTGCATCTAAAAAATGATTCGGGAATCTATACTGACTTCTGTGGTAGACAGTCTAATAATACTTGGAGTCTTCAACAGTTTCCATCTTACTGGAGTAAGCCTTAGAAACATAGCCATCCATCTATTCAGCTGCAGCTGTGTAGCTACACAGGTAAATTATGTCTTGTCCCAGGGATGATAAGCACTAAATTTCTAAACTGACAATTTCTGTCTTATAAGTGGCCAGAATCTCTTTATTCAAATTTCAAACTGTTCTTATTAGAATAAAAGTAATTGTAATAATTACTTTAATGACTGCGACTTACAGTAATAACTGATGGGACTTCCTTGATATTCTGACAAATAAATACAATTTCTTGCAGATTTATTGGTTGGCAGCAAACATTGGCACTGTCAGCTTCCTTTTATGCTTGCTGTTGTTACCAACTATCACACATGTTGATCAGGCTGTTTCTTTCTTTTGATCCCTGAAAAGTTCTCCCTGTGTGGTAACATAGCCTGGCGACTGTTCTATTTTCATGATTCAAATGGGTAGTGCCTTTGCCCTGGATTATATGTTGATGGCACTGAACTTGAGGAAAATTGCCTTCAAAGAACTTTTCGTTTGAGGCATTTGATGAGGAAGGGGCTGTGTTGCTATACAGTCATGGCGATCAAAATTTTTGGCAGAAATGATAATGTGGGCACAAATTTGGTTGGTTATTATGGAGATAGGTTGCAAATAAGGCCATTTAACATCAATTGAACTATGTGACATTTATTATTTGACAATGGACGTTATTAAGTATGGGCAAGAAGAAACTTTGAAATTACTACTGGAGTTCTCCAAAAGAAAGCCACCAGATGGTGGGTTGATCATCAATGCAAGATAAGATGAAACGTGATCATCTGGTGCAAGTGCTGCAGGAAGATTCATTCCAGTGGTGCAATCAAGTGATTGTGCATGGTGGCCTTTAATTTTGCTGAGGGCACTTGGTGTTAGATGATTTAAGCTTGTATTCCCAGACATATCCGACTTTCATCTTCAAGGCTGGTGCAGAATCTTGCAAACAGTTTCTCAACAACTGGGCTACTGGATGAAGATACGGTGATGTTGCCCATGATCCTTGTTTATTTTGTAGTGGTAGGTTGTCAACATCTAGGCTATTAGTATCAATAAAACATTACTGTGAAATAAAAAATGGGGCTTTCAGCTATTTTCCTATTGAGTATGTAGTAATCGTATTTTAAATTATAGACAAGTGATGACTCTTAAAAGGCATACAAAGACTGATGCAGTCTGAACTTTTTTATTATTTAGAGGAACTGGGGTGTGCAACACTTGAGATGAGAAACTAATTAAGTTGCCTTCCACTCTTGGGTAATCTGGAAATCTGTGTACTAAAAACAAAGCAAAGAGGTTCAATCATCAAGAAGTTGGCAATCCATCCTTTGCAGATATAACTTTTGGCCGGTAAGATCATAAGCCACATTGTAATTCTGTTGTGCCCTTATTCCAATTATAGAGAGGATATCAGGTTCAGGAATGTCAAAGGATCTAACTGGATGGATAGCCAAGCAAAATACTTGTGGTTCTTTATAATAGAACAAGCTTCCTGTATCCAAAACCAAATCAGCTCCCTCTGCCAAATGAAATGTCACAGCGGGAAATCCGACAAGATCTCGATTCACACTTCCATTGTAACACAATGACCAGCGCTCTGTTTCATATATAACTCGTTGCAGGAACCCATCTAGTAAGAGACGGATGTTGCCGTATAGTTCACTGTACTCGGTTTCCGGTATATAACTCAACTCTGCTCCAGAGTCGATTATCATTCCACCAGAGCCCTGGGGAGTCCTCTTAAATACATTGGGATCAAATTGAAGTCTTAAGTCCCCCATACTTGCACCTTCAAGGGTAACATAGTAAAGGCCCCTGTACATTTCGAAAGGCGTTGAATAACCTTCAATGTCTGCCCCATCACCAATAACTAACCTATTGTACCTATACTCCTGATCGTTCATGTTTCCAATGCAATAGGAAAACTTGTTTCCCAGCTTGGTGACTAGAGATGTTGGAGAATCACCAAGTCCGAAAATCCCATTGAATTTCCTCCCTCTTATGGCTCCAGTAGTGCTACAGCCGAAACTCACATTAGGCACCACAACGCTGCCCTCATCAAATGTCTCGAAGGTAAATTGGTCGGTCGAAAGAACTCCGTCAGTTGAAAAGAGGTTTTCATATGCTATCGAAAACTTGCACTGATTTGAATCAGTATCGCAGCTTTTGCGAGGCAAAGAGTCACACTTTGCATCTTCGCATGACGTAGTTGCATATGAGGAGGACTTGGAAGGATCGAAACAGTCGTTTGTGCTCATGCAACGCTTGCATTCAACCCACAAGAGCGTGCTGCCAGTATCCATCACAGCAAGCTGGGGAACAGGGGGCTGCCCTATAGAAAATTTCACAAGAAAGATTCCTCTATCGATGTCAAGATGGGTTTGAACATCGTTACTGCTGGCTAAACTCGTCCTAACTTTTGATCGTATGTAGGCAAGACGAGCAGCTGAATTTTGCACCATGTAGGTTGCATGATCTGCTACTGTATCAGCAGGGTTGTAGGTTGGAGAGAAAATGGAGTTGTAGTGAAAAAGTTTAGCATGTAGGCGTCGAGGTTTCATGGTGGAGGCAATCCTCGTGGCGGAATTAGGCAATGCTAAGAAATTTGTCATGGTTAAAAAGAGCAAGGGAAACAATACCGCGAATGAAGGTGGTGTTGAATCCATGGAGGTTGAGAGTAGTGCAAGTGCAATCAAGTTGGGAAATCCTACAGCTACAGGATTTAATAAGACCGTCTTCACGTGGAGTGCATGGGTTACGTAAGTGAAATTTGGTGAACAAAATCAGAATTGCTTAAGGAAAATCTTTCTTTGAGCATAAGCACCAATCTTGCTTCTCCTTTATATATTTGGATCTTTTTGCCCTAAAATCAACTAAAACTTGACCTACCACTCATTATTTTTTCTTTTTGTTTTTTTATGATGAGAGGTCAAGTTCAGCATGTGAACGAATCCTTCCTCCACTTTGAATAAACATCCTTAACAATTTGAGTAGGTATCCTTGACTATTTATCAAATTAACAATAAATATCATAGATTAACCAAATTGATATGATATTTTGCTTTTTATACTATTAATTTGTTAATATATATATATATATATACATAAATTAAAAAAGATAATAACATTGTTTATATTTCAAGTTTCATTCGTGGGTTTTTGTTAATAAAAACATGTAATGGCCTTTATTCAATATTTTAACAGGTCACCTACAACTCATGGCCAAAAAACCAAATCAAGATCTTGTAGTACACATATGAGCCCATTAAAAAGAGATCCCTTTGAAAGCCCTAAATCATCTAAAAAACCAACAATCAAAACTAATATTGTTTATATATATATATATATATATATATATTTGAAAATGCAATTTTCCCATATTTGGCATGATTATATGCCTGCGAATGTAACATTCCCTTGGATATCACCCTTCCATCATAAAATGGAATCTCATTCATATACTGTTAGGGGTGGGGAACTGAGGAATAAAATGACCCAAGTATGGACTCTCAACCCACAGATTTTAACAACTAAAGCCCCATATTTCCTGAAACGAGTGCATTAGTCTTTGTTTTTCAACCTTTTACAAAAGAAAGAAAAAAAAAATGAATCCCCCAATATTCTTTCACATATATAATAATGTTTGGATAGCACAAATGGGGGGAAAAATTGGACAAGAAATTACCCATCTGGAAGGAAGCAACACTAACAACTCGTTAGCCTCCAGCCTCATTCAAATCATCCTAACTGTTCTTCCAGTTTGCCCTAGAACTCAAGAATTGCGGTTGAGAAAAGCGGCCATATACAACTGTGTAATCTATATATGTGAAACCAGGATGAAGAGAAGGGATCGAGTAAACACTATCTGACCAAAAAATTCACAGTCAAAAATTGAGGAGCATCATCAATTTATCTACGGTTTCTGGATAGAATTTCCTCGCAAATAGGTAGCACGGCCGTCTGATACCATTCCATAGGCAAGGCTGTACCTGCTCTTCACTCTACCAAAGGACAACCAGGTTGAGAATCTACTAATCTTACCAACTTCTGAAAGCATGAGAGATTGTGTTTGAAATGTATACCTTTTCATCACTTGATACATGGACACTCAAATCAATTGACTGCAAAAATATAATGCAAAATTCGTCAGAACCTAAATTCATCATTATTGATAACCACAATCTACTCCAGTGTTCCCAGATGACAAATGCAAGACTTAACCATCATACACAGGAACCACACATTTTCACTTTATCAGTTTAAAAGGAAAGGTGTTAAGTTGTTGAGTGTTGGCATATTATCCCTTCATTGTGGCAAAAATGAAGTTATGTTTTCCTAAAAAAACATACTACACCACACTCATTAGCATCAAACAACAAAAAATGGACAGTAATATTGATAAAGGGTTGCTTAAAAAATAGAGAGATAAGCACGTGTACCGTAATATTCTTCAGAAGCTCATCTGTAACATCCTGAGCCCTATATGATTTAGGATGCCACTTTCTCTCAGACCAGTCAACATGTGTTACTGACCAGTTTGCAACACCTCCAGGATCAATCATCTGAGGACGCACAAACGAAAAAAGATTAGGAGAGGCCAAAGTGAAAAGTAGGAAACATGATATAAAATATGATTCTCACGTGGAAAAATGTTGGCAAGTAATGCTCGTCAGCAATGCAATTTTTGCCATCCAAACCTGGCTGTAATAATCAAGAACAAGGACGCCAATGAGTCAGCAACGTAAATCTTGTTCATGAATTCTATCTATTTAAAACTTCCACAGATTATAATTACCATTTACTATATCTACATATCATCTCCATGACGAGAATTCTGTCAATTCACATGTAAGAAGAACAATTTCCTGCCCTTGTTATACAGTATAAGGAATTCAAGGAAAGCTAGAAAAATTACCAGGCCAAACGCAAGCCGTCTTGTTTAAGCAGAAAATAACTATACTTTCTAAACAAGGAGCTTATTTTATGTAGCTCACAGTCAAGTCATTAACATCTAGAAATATTCTGCCTTCTCTCTGACACTAACAGTTAAGCAAGAAAAAGACCGAGTGATAAACATTGATCATGCAAATTCAGACCAGTCTAACTGACAGGTATAATAGTTAGAGGACAGACACATCAATTATATCCCCCAAAATGTTTTATAAAGTTAGCAAATGATATTCACAAATCTACTTCGAAACACATTCAGCTTTTTTCTTGATTGACAAACTAGAAGCATTGAATTGGAAAGAAAGAAAACAAGAGATCAGAAAATTTGAAATCAAGTTTAGCTACCACTTTTGCTGCTATATGTTAAGAAATATATAATACTTCAAAAAACCAGAGTAGTTAGAGCTGCTTTTGGCATCATGTGCCAAAAAATTTCACCTAGGCAAACTCAAATTAATTTTCTTCATATGTTTCAATATTATTTTTTGAAGAGAAGAATAAATTAAAAAATAAAGAAAATTAAAGTGAGCCAACTCCGTGAATCAAAGAGGGTAAATTCAAAATTGAGCAGATTACAGTAAATTGAACTACATTTTAAGGTAAATTCACCTTGCAGTAATCCCGGAACCTTGAGTAGTAAAGATTGTCAGCAACAACTATCAGAGCATGCTGCCGCCTCATGGAGAACCACTGCACAAAATTCACTCATTTAAACTTACTGCAAAAATACACTACATGAGTTTGCTTAAAAGGTATGCAGGAGGCTGAAATATTTCATAACAAGAGACTTGTATCTGGAGATGACTCAAACAAATTGGGGTAAAGAAAACAGTTAATATTCAAAATGAAAAGGAAACACGAATGCATCAACTATGGTGACCAAATTTGTCATAATATAAGACATCGGGAGTGATGCATGGCCTTCACATTGTCACAAGCAGAGTTGACTTTGGTAAAGTTCATTCACACATCCCAGCTACAATTTGTCATTCCAATTGATCTATTGTAATGCATTTTTATCTAACAATAAATGGTCTTTATATCATATCAATTAAGACATACCTGCGCACCCTTTCTGAAGTCTTTCTTTTCTACTTCAGGTAACATGTGATCTGAATACCTACCATTTCCATGTGGTCCAGGATCCACAAAGCTAGCAAACAAGGTGGGGATACATGTCAAATGAGTAAAAACAGTACAAAAAGTCCATCAAGTGTGTGCATGTGTATACTCTCTAATTCAAAACCCCTATTCCAGGAGCTATTTAGGCAAAATAAACTGTTTCAAATTACAAAAGAGCTAGTACCTGGTACAGGCATATACATTAGAAGATTTCACTTACCAATCAACAAAACTCATATTAGCATGCATCAGATAGTTGTAGACATAGTCAAAATTATGCAACGGAACACAACTGCAATGCCAGGATGATTGCTTCAGATACTGATAATAGTACAAGTCAAAAAAAATATCCTTTGTGGGATGCGATGGGGGTTGAAGGAAGTAAGACATACTATATTACCTCTCAGAAAGTAATACAAAATGTTGGTTATCAGGATCTTTTAGAGCATGTACCAATAATCGTCTCTCTGCATCAACCATTGAAATTTTCCCCCATACAACCTGCAAATTCAGTGAATTTAAAGATCACTAGCTCATCAAATTATAACAGAGTACAGTAATATAGTTAATAAATAGGATAGGAAAGTGACAATCACATCAATATATATATAGATAAAGTAACCATACAATAATAGTTGAAATAGCCTTTTATCAGATCACAAAGTTTGACTACAAAATTTGATATTAAAAATAGCACACATGCACACACCTAACTGTACAAAAATTGTGTCTAATAGTAGTGGGATGTAAAATGATGCTGGAGCATATAATTAGTAACAATCTTTAGCACAATACTTTAGTGACATGGTAACTGCTATAATCATGTCTTTCGGCTTCTATTCTGAGAGATTTTCCAAACTACAAATAAATTTGGACTCTAAACTATGACAGACCTCGTAAAGCAGAAACATGAACAGAGACAGACTCTCGATATCGTAGACATGGAAGGATATAGGGCAGTCTACCCCTTTCCCTCTGATAGACCAAAATTAAGTAGTTGACAGCCAGCTTTTCTGCTGGAGCCATTTTCAAGTCCATAGTGGATATATTTTTCTAATGACCATTGTAAAATCAGGATACTTAGCATGTGCTACCAAATCTATAGAACAAATCCAGAAGCATGGAAAAAGAGAGAGAAATAGCAAACTATCTATCAGCAAAATTAATCTAAGAAACATACCTCATCACTGCGAATTTCCCGGTTAAGAAAGTAACGACTCACGTGCAATGGTTTTCCTTTTGATGCATGGATAAAAACAGAAAATTTGCCCTCATGCCCCTGCGAGGAAAAATGCGCAAACTTTTGATAAATATACAGGGAAAATAACATCTTAAAAGTTAGTAAAAGCCACAAATGTGGAAAAAGAAATAGAAAAAAATGATCATAAATTCCTTTCCATAAAAATTCAACAGAAACAGTATGAACTGAGGCAGACAGTCAAGCATAACTAACAAGTTTTTTGATACAGACATCCTGATGAATGCAAAGCAGGGAATCTGCCAACTTCCATCTCCACACTACATTTGTATTCATTCACAATATGCAAGATTGATATCATTAGTACCTCCACCATACAAATTAACCCATATTTGCATCCACAGTCAACAAAGGAAATGCAGTTTACTAGAATGACCAACCTGACACAAAATGTAGTTAAGTGACCAACCTAAATTACTTCATTTGAATCAACCATTAGCGACAAATGTATTATTTGATTCAAAAATAGGCTTCATACAGCCAGAAGCTTTTAAGTAATACTATAAGACACTGTGTGTTGCCTACACCAGAAATTTTTTATACCATAAGTCTCTAGTTAGTTCAAACAGACTAAAATTCTATCATAGGAATTAAAACAGTACTCCAACCTTCCCCCCCTTTCGCTATGAATGCCTGCATGTATAGCATACAACAGCTTCAGTTCTTTGTCCTACTCAACTTTGTATTTCTCATGCTTCTAGATCTAATGTATGAGCTGAAATGCTTCTTAATTTCCATGTTGAGGTTATAAATCACCAAATACTGGCACTTTCTTCAGATAATGGTCATAAATTTACAAACCACACATGCAAACTGCATCCTTCTGTAGCATAAACAACACCTATTGCAAAAAGTATGTTTTTATATAACAAATTCTTGGCAAGTAATATGAAAATAACACTTAATACATTTCCAGATAGGGTCCAGTCATATAATAGTTCATATCTGCCCTGCTATCTATAGCATTAAGGTGCAAGAAACCTTCAAATGTGAATATTATTACTAATAGGCTAAACCAAGAAATCTCCAGCAATAGGTTTTAAAAACATAACAATACAAAAATTACAAAACCTGAAGAAAGAATCCAAACTATCTAACATCTCCAGTTAAGGTAGGTAGAGTACTGCAAAACACAATATCATATTCTCCCTTTATTACCCAAAGGTACAGACATAAAAAAGCACCTTTATTACCCACGGTCCTTGCTTTCACCCCTATGAACACTATGGTCCAGGCCCAAAATCTCTAGCAGGTTTTCCCACCTGCCATTAATGCAATGTCATTGCTATGCACAACATTTCCCCTGTAAACCCTCACCCCTCATCCAAGTATTTCTCAACCAAAAAAAAAGGCAATTTTGTATCTATATTCTATACTAACAAAGATGCATTAATAAACAAATACAAATTACTTCAGGGAAAAAAGTAGCACAAAACAGGCATGGTACTTGAGCGTTGGGACACAAAAATGTGATTTTTTTCTTAGCAAACAACTTTTGCGTGGTAGATTTTGTATATGATGCATCATCCAACCTTGTTATACAGGACCAAACCTTGTAGTTCATGAAAGCCAAGTTCAGGGATAATAATCATAACATTAAATGGGATACTAAAACATCCATGAAGAATATAAAGACATTAGATTATAAAAAGAAAAATTAACTAGCAGTGAAAAAGATAACTTACACGGAAGAACATATCCCAAACCTTCTCAAAAGGCAGTGAACTTGGAGTTAAGAACATGAATGCAATTTTAGAATTCTTAGATCGGACAGGAGGTGTATTCAAAATATCCCTAACCACAACCCGTGATGCAATCTCCTCATCAGTTAATTCCCTTGCAGGAGCGGGAGGAAGCCAATCAGTAAGAGCCTTGCAACCTCTAGAAGAAAATACATAACAAGCAGCATTGCCTCGTGGTGGATATATATAAGCACAAACTAGAAAAAGGCTGACCAACGAAACCAAGAAAATTATCCATATCGGCCTCTTCAAAGGAGGGCGGTGGCGAGCCCCAGGCAAGATCTGCATATCACCCATGCTGCCTAGTCGCCACGCCTGACCTGCCTTCATCTAGCACAAACACCACAGCTTTATATTCATGTGACTCTTTTTTTTTCCAGTTTTCTCTCAAAAATGAATTAGTATTCCAGAACCAAAGACAGATTCTTCAATTGATCTATGTAATGTGATCTGAGAAAGGAAACCATAAGCAAAAGCATTACATTGACTTAGTTTGCAACACAAGTATCCTTAACACAGGAGATGAAATGACAAAACTTGGTCAACAAGGTCAGCTTAAATACGAAGTGCAACAAACCGATCATATCCTTAACCATAAAACTTTTGGAATGGAATCATAATTAAAAAAGAAAAAAGAAATTGTCCAAATTTAAATATCAATGCCTAGTATGGAGAAACCATTAACTCAACCTTATGTTGTACGCATTTCCAAAAGAACAACACCAGAATACAAAATTTACCTTTTATTTTCCTGGGTAATCAAACGGCTCAATAGCAACACTTTCTCAACTTATTCAAAACGGATAGCATGAATTGAAAAAAGAAAATGCAAAGTTCGGGATTTGCCTAACTACTAAAACCAAACGCAGCTTCTTTCAACAATTTCTATCAATAAGGAGGAACTTGGGATAAAAAAAGGGAAAAAAGTCAACCCAAATCGACGACCTCGCTGGTCCAACCTACCAAAAGCCAAAGACTCATTCAAATCCAACAAAGAAAGAACATTTCTACACTCAATTTCCCCCCTCAGCCAATACCCTCCCCTCCCCCAAAGAAAAAAGTCATAAAGAATGAAACCATATCTTTCTTTTCAAAAAATTAAAAAAAAAAACACTGGAAACGAAAAGAAATGAGAAGCAAATTACCTGAGGAATGAAGCTGACTGAAGTAAATGAAAGAGATCTTAAAATCTTGGGATTTCGAAGATCCAAGAATCAAAAGTATATCAAGATCTAGGGCAGGCAGAGCACGAAACAAGAAACAGAGAAAGAGATATGTATTGGGTGTGTATTTATATAAAAAAATAATCTCTGTAAAATGGGTTTCTGATTCTTTAGAGGATTCGTTTATGTGTTTGTTTCTGGATTCTTTTATCTTTATTTATATTTTTGTATTCTTTTCTTGTTTGTCAAAGACGGAGAGGGAGAGGGAGAGGGAGAGGGAGAGGGAGAGCAAGCAGGAGAGGGAGCCAAAGAGGAAGCAGGCGGGGTGGAATTTTTTAGCTAACTGTGCATCCTTCCAAACACAAAACAAAGCCGGCGATTTAATTTAATTTAATTTAATTCTCCTTTTTAATGTGGCAATTATTTAATGCTGTTTTTTTTTTATTATTTTACGGTCACATGTCAAGGCCTAGTCGCATTTCGAGCGCGTGTTCAACCCGTATTCAATGTCTCCTCAATTGCTCTTGTGGGGGCTAATTATTTTATCTATGTTTGGTAAGAAGAAAATTTAAAGGAAATAGTATTTGTTTGCTTTCCTGTTTCAAGAGCAAAATAGGAAAGAAAAAATACAGTAATTTGTAATTTTATGCTTTAACTTATTGATAACTCTATGATATAGAGTTTTTTGTACTTAATTCTAATAGTAATTTAACTTAGTATCTTATAGTAATGTATAGAAATTAATAGACCGTATTTAATTATTTTGAGTTAATTAATTTAAGTAAGTCAATTTAATCTTAGTTAATTTTATACTTAATTTGATGTTAATGTGATTAAGATAGACTGTTGTTGATTTATTTATACTTTTGTTAGCATTTAATAAATGAAGACTTTTAATGAAAAAAGAAGAGTAATTTTAAGGTGTAGACTTTTACTACATATATTTTAATATTTCGATTATAACTCTCTTTACAGAGCTCCAAATAAATTATTCTTGAATCATTGGAAAGATAAGAGAAAATGCTACAACTTTCATGTTTATTACTTAGTCCAGTTCAATTTGAAAGGTGATCAAAAATCTTGTCAAAGTTGGAGCATGCAGTAGTCATGGAACAATTACAATTTCTGTTATTTAAATGGTCAAGGCCGTAGCTTTGAAAGAAGTAGGCTGCGGCCCATGTAATTTGATGAGGAAATCTTGATTGAAATTGACTTCTTTCTTCATCCAACTTGACTTAATTTTAAAATCTTATAAAAATAACCTTTTGGAGGACTTTTAGGAGAATGAAACACCTGATTGAAAGCTAAGAATCAAGTTGCAAAGTCATTGAAGTTGAGAAAAATTTAAAAGATTCAAGGAAATTTGGAGATCAAGAATACAATTCTTGAGTTTTTTTATCTTTTTTTATTCTCTCACTTTCTTGGTTTTGTTTTTAATGTTTACACTTATTTTGAAGATAATGTGTGACTTGATAGGGAATTAAATTGTTTTATCTAAGATTATGATTGAACTCAATACGTAGTCTTATTTTTTTATCTCTCTTTTGCTTATGTTTTATAAATTTAAGTTGTTTATTTTATTCTGTTCTTAATGTTTCTAGTTGACTGGCTACCAATTAGATTGAATTAGAAACCTAAGTTAAACCTTGACGAAAGAAAGTTAGGTAGACCTAGAATAGAACAGCGTATAATCGAATATACTTAGTTGATTAAGAGATTTGATTTGCATATAGAGTAGACGTACACCTATAAGCCATATGTAGCCAAAATTAGTACATGAACTTAATGAATCTATCTTTAATTTAATTTATATAGACATATAGTAAGTTAATTAGAAGAGATATTTTTATAAAAAACTTGACAGAAACTTGTAAATAAATTAGGACTCTAAGTTAACAACTTAATTCATTAAACTAAGTTAAGAGAGAGAGACAATAATCAGAAGAAGTATTGAGGGATATCATAATGCTAGGTCAGGTAGTCATTCAAATTTAATAAAATAATTTTACTGATAAATTTTAGATTAGTTTTAGTTATTAGTTTCAATTTTTCCTTCTAATAATTAGGTTGTTTGGATAAGATTAAGATGCTATAATTTTAGCAGTTAGCAATTAGGAATTAATTCAATTCTCCATGAGAACGAATTTTACTTTCTATTATAGTACTTGTTAACGATACGTGCACTTGTGTGAGAAATCAACAGAAAGTTTTTGATTAATAAGAAAGAATTAAAAATCAACTCCCTAGTAACAATGCCAAAAACTTGTTGTTAATTTCTCAAGTAAGTGCACGTATCGTTAATAAGCACTATAATAGAAAGTAGAATTCGTTCTTACAAAGAATTGAATTAATTCTTAATTGCTAACTACTAAAATTATAACACCTTAATCTTATCTAAACAACCAATTATTAAAAGAAAAAATTGAAACTAATAACTAAAACTAATCTAAAATTTATCAATAAAATTATTTTATTAAATTTGAGTGACTACAAGACCTAAGATTATGATATCCCTTAATACTTCTTTTGATTATTATCTCTTTCTCTTAACTTAGATTAATGGATTAAGTTGCTAATCTAGAGTCTTAAATTATTTACAAGTCTTTGTCGAATTTCTTATAAAAATATCTTTCTCAATTAACTTACTATATGTCTATATAAATTAAATTAAAGACAAATTCATTAAGTTCCTGTTCTAATTTTGACTACATATGACTTATAGGTGTATGACTGCCCTATATGCAAATCAAATTACCTAATCAACAAAGTGTATTTGATCATATACTATTTTATTCTATGTCTACCTAAATCTCTTTTATCAAGATTTAACTTAGATTTTCAATTCAATTTAATTAGTGGCCAATCCAATAGAAGCATTAAAAATAGAATAAAATAAATAACTTAAATCCATAAAACAAAAACAAAAGAGAGATAAATAAATTAAACTGCGTATTGAATTCAATCATAATCTTAGATAAACAATTTAGTTCCCCATTAAATCATACATTATCATCAAAATAAGTTTATACATTAAAAACAAAGACAAGAAAATAAGAGAATTTAAAAAAAGATAGAAAAACTCAAGAATTGTATTCTTAATCTCCAAATCTCATTGAATCTTTCAAATTCTTCTCAGCTTCAATGACTTTGTGGCTTGATTCTTAGCTTTCAATCAAGTGTTTCATGCTTCTAAAAGTCCTCTGAAAGGTTATTTTTATAAAGTTTTAAAATTAAGCCAATTTGAGTAGAGAAAGAAGTCAATTCCAATCACCATTTCCTCATCAGGCTACGTGGGCCATAGCCTAGCTCTTCTAAAGCCTCAACCTTGACCATTTAAATAGTAAAAATTGTAATTGTTCTAAGACTGCTATAGTGCTTCAACTTTGACAAGATTTTTCACTACCTTTCATGCTGAACCAAGTAAAATGATAACCATAAAAGTTACAAAATTTTCTCTTATCTTTCCAATGGTTGAAAAATCATTTCATTTGAAACCTTGTAGAGAGAGTTATGATCGAAATACCTAAACGTATGTAGTGAAACTCTGCATCTCAAAATTGCTCTACTTCTTCCACTAAAATCTTCCTTCATTAAACACTAACAAAAGCACAAATAAATTAACAACAACCTATCTTAATCACATTAACACCAAATTAAGTATAAAATTAACTAAGATTAGATTGACTCACCTAAATTAATTAGCCTAAAATAATTAAATAAAACCCATTAATTTTTATACATTACTACAAGAACTAACCTAAAATACTATCAAAATTAAGTCCAAATAATTCTATATCAGAGAGTTAGCACAGCCCCAAACTTAATATTTTGCTAGTCCTTGGCAAAACATAGAAAAGAAACTAGCTTATAAAAATCAAATTCAGTTAATGAAAACTAAAATAAATATAGTTACTATTACTACTACTATTACTACTAGAGATAAAGTGCACCAACTCAATGATTGCCTATAATTTCCTCAAAAGTATATCTATCAATCATTAACTTAAGGAAAATATAGGCATTATTCAAATTCTTATTTCAATTCCAATGCATGTACGTTCTCAAATGGATTTTCGTGTGTGTGTGAAATCTTTTACCAAGAATATCATGACATCCGAATAGGTTTATGCCAATACAAATTTCAAATCAGTACGAGAACTCCATAGGTTTACTTTTCATCTCTCTCTCCACCGATGTAGGCTAATACAAAGCTAGGGATCAATAGGACTTTATAAAGCTTGTAATACATGGCTAAGGTCTAGGTAGGATTAAAGATAATGATTATTCTATGACCTATCTATAAAGCTGTATTTTCTTTCTCCAAGTATACTTTTTCTTCCACATTTGAACTTTTTTTTGTTTTTTTTATATAATTTTTTTTCACAATTTCATAATTTCACACTCTCAAACTTATTTTCTTTGTATTGTAGGTAGTGGGGTGATTTTTAATATCTTGAACATTTTTTTTCTTTTCTTATCAACATCACCTTTTCACCTTTTTCAACATTTAGCTCAATTTAAATTTTCTAAAACAATATACATGCTTAGGAGTGAGGGTTGCAAAATTGAAAAATTAATTTTAAGGTTATGCTCAATTATTATATAGTTAAACAAAGAAAAGGGAAATTAAGCTCAAAAAGGGTATACTAGGGATAAAAATTTAACAAGGTAGGCTTTTTAGGCTCAAATCATCCAAAGATGGCCTACATTATATCCCTAACTAAATATTACCTAGGATTTCACCTCGAGAAAAATCAAGCAAATTCTAGAATTCGTAGCATAATCTACGATTCACATCAATATAAACTTTCTCTAGATATTCATAATAATTCAAAGTGAAATATATGGACTCAAAATTGTGGAAGTTACATCTTAACAATGATACTTAACAAAAGACTTTTAGCATGAATCCAAACAAAAACCTTTTTCACCAGAAGAAAAGAATTCAAGACAATTAGTTATTATCATTGAATAGGAAAATCATTGAAAAAATTAGCACAACTTTACTCTAAATTCCTAAAATTTGAACAAATAATAAATTCATTTGACAACTAATCCTAAATTAAACTAAATAAAAAACTTTCACAGAATATTCATCATCAGAAAAATATATTCACTTTCAATCCTTTATAACAAACAAAGAATCAAAAAACAACTTTCCTTTCTCTTTGGTAGCATTAGATATGAGAGAAGTGGCAGCACATTCTCTGTAATGTACCTAATTAAATTACATTGCACTATTTGTAATGTGATTATAGTTCAAAACCAATGCAATCAAATTGCATTATATTTTGTAATGTTATTAAAGATATTTTTACCCTTCAACTTTGTTATTTTGTTTAAGACATTTTACAATGTTATAATTTTTTTTT